TAAGAACATCTGAAGCAATGCTACTGAATAGGCACAAATAGGTCAATAAGATGATGAAAACAACAGCTTGAAAATCTATAAATTCAGACACAATAGAGTACATTAACTGCAGTGTGTAGCATTTTAAGACAAACTGCTTAATGTATATCCCAGCACACCCGCTCCTCGCTCATCAGCATGTGAACACGGAGAAGATGGAGAAGATGGTTATCAGACCACAAAAGGAAGGATAGTCATTGCTTAACTGGCGAACCACGGAAAATCACGGCCCAGCCACGTTGACACTTAACCTTAATCAGAAGAACAAGCAGTGCACCTGGTTGTTCATCTTGCTTGGAAGGAGAAATGGCCAGATGTGCGACTGTATACTGATTCATGGGCTGTGGCCAATGGTTTGACTGGATGGTTAGGGGCTTGGAAAGTTCATGATTAGAAAGTTGGTAACAAGGAGAAGTGAGGAAGAAGTATGTGGATAAACCTCTTGGATTGGCCTAAAAAAAGTGAAGATATTTGTATCTCATGTGAATGTTTACCGGAGTTACCTTGGTGACTCAGGCGGATTTCATCAATTAAGTGGACAGGATGACACATTCTGTGGAAACTAACCATCCTCCTGCCCATTGCCCAGTGGGCACATGAACAAAGTGGCCATGGTGGCAGGGATGGAGTCCCTGAGCTCAGCAGCATGGACGTCCACACACCAAGGATGACTTGGCTAAGCCAATGCTGAGTGCCCAATCTGCCAGCAGCAGAAACCGACACCGAACCCACCATATGGGACCTACTGCCACCAAGAGAGGAGAGCCAGGAGGGGAGTGTGTCCTTTGGAACTGGAGTCCCTGCCCTGTAAGGCTCCTAGATCCAGGGGCAGATTGATACCAAGATGCCTGGAGAGCTCCAGGAAATGCTGGCCCCGCAGGCATTGAAGGGAGACAAGGGCCTTTCCCCAGAGCCGACAAAGAGGGAAAGCCTGTCGCTAGAGTCAGCACTTTCAAATTGGACATCTAGTTTCCCAAACAGAGCGACTACATTGCTCTGCGGTATTTGCAGCACGAGATAACTAAGCCATGCACCTGATCATTCATTACTGCCAGACTACACTACTAATGTGCAAAACAGCTAGCCAGCAGATTTTTTATGATTGTTGTAAATGCGAAATGCCAGCTAACGAGAGTCAATACACGAGGAGAAAGTGGTAACAAGATGCAGATACTGGAGTCCGGCTATACCATACAATCCTATTAAGTCTAAAGTCACTAACGCAAAACCAGTCACAGGGGCATGATGAAATGACAGCCTTAGTTCTAAAACACAGTGTTTGTACAACTGAGTTCTCACACTGTGGGGGTAGCCTAACTTTAAAAGGAAGGACAAATGCTTCTCTGTACAAAGAAGATGCGTATGTCCCACCTGATCAATTACTAGAAGGAAACCAAGACACCTGGGTAACTCTTAACACTATGAATGGTTCAGATATCCAAATTCTGGTGCTCTAACTATAATGACTAAGGAGCTCTGGTAGCGTAGGGGTTACGAATCGGGCTGCGAACCTTAAGGTCAGTGGTTCGAAACTACCAGCCGCTCCGCAGGAGAAAAATGAGGCTTTCTACTCCCGTAAAGATTTACACCCTCGGAAACCCTGTACAGGGTCGCTATGGGTCAGCTCCGACTCGAAGGCACTTAACAACAACAACAACTATAATGACTAGACAGCCAGTTGTTTATAATTTGGGAACCTGGACCTTCATAGCATGTTCCAACACTTGGATAAATCTAACTTACTGAACAAATGGCAATCATGCAGAATTTCCCTTTCAAATTTGCACTACATGAATACTCTGTTAGAGAACAAATGTACTCTTTTTCCAGGTCATATAGGAAAAAGGAATGACAAAAATGTCTACCTTTGTGAGGCCATATTACAGTAACTGGAGTCCTGGTGTGGCACTACAGGGCGATATACTGGACCACAAAGTCAGCTTGAGCCACAAGGTCGGCGGTTCAAACCCACCAGTAGCTCCTCGGAAGCCCTATACAGGGTTGCTATGAGTCGGAACCGATTCAACAGCAGTTAACAACAACAATTACATTAACTATAACTCACTGTGGTTAGCAGTCCAGTACAGCGCTACACCAGGACATACTTGTTAAACATGTAAAGAATGTAGCAAACCACCTTAAAATGAAGTTGACTTTGACCTTGCATGCTGTGATCACAGAAGACATCCATAGTTGATCTTTGCAAACTACCCTTGAGACAAACATCTAAACAACCACCTTCATCTCTAACCTTGAAGAAAACATCTCTAAACGTAGAGAAGACACAACACAGTCTTTGAGCTCATGCTGGCCTTTCTTTTGTGAGGCCCAGGTGAGAATTGTACATTTAAACCCTGAAGTTCTGCACACTCACTGAGAAGGCAGAGGCAAAGAAACCCTCCCCTAGTCGTTTTCTCTGAAGACCAAGAACCTGTTGAGATTCGGCCAGCTGCAGCTGATTTTAATTCCCTAGCCAGGAGGGATCTCTGACAAGTTCAAACCCTAAACTTGAAGTCTAAAGATCTGGACGCTAACCACTGAATGAACATGAATTGTAATCATTCAGATTCTTGGCTTCTGAATGAATGTTACAAGGTCTTCCTTGTGTGCCTAGTTGTGAAAATGTTGCAGTAAAATAAAGGGGGTTATGCATGGCAAACACAAGCATCTCTATTAATTTTCTGAGATTCAATCCTACACAGAAGAGGTGGGTATGTGTTTGATCCCTATGTTGACAGATAAGGAAACTGAAGTACAGAGATGCTAAGTTACTTGTCCACAGTTACTCGGGTCTTTTCCCATCCTCCTCTTGGGCTCCCCGCCTCAGCTAGGAAACGATGGAGCTTCGGTGTTGAACCCCGGATGTATGACTCCAGAGCTGAAACTTATAAGGCAGGGGGCTTATTTGAGGTCAGAATTTGGTCCCTAGATGTGCCTTGTTTGGCTGAGAGAGTGGTTACTATTTTACATCTTAATTTAATCTGGATGAGCTGTCAATATTTTTAAATTGGGAGATTTCATCTCAAATAGCCATTTGGGACTTTGTTTGAGGAAATGAGATCTGGGTTCACTGTCTTGTATGCCATGCACCTCACGTGGCTCACTGTGCTCGGCTGCAGTCCTTGCCTGGCTCTGCTAGCCTGTGTCACTGCCTTCCTTCCACACAGAATTGAAGGATACTCTACTCTCACCCCTGTGGGTGTCCACTCTCCACTTTCATGTGCTAGGGGCTCTGAAGGAAGACAAGCTTGAGAACAAGACTTGCTAGTCCTGGGACTCCTGAGGAGACAGGAGAGGAATCTCCACTTTGCTCAGAGAAGAGCTAGGGAGGAAGTGAGAGGCGGGGGGAGCTGAGATTGTGGCAAAGAACGCAGGAGCCCAGGGGATGGACCATGCACTCATCTGCCCCCAGCCCCAGACTCTCTCCAGAACTCCAGACCTTAGGGATCCCATGGCTTACTGGACACCTCTCCCTGGACATCTCCCAGGCTCATCCTATCCACTGGGTACCACACCGGCCTCAGTGGCTCTTGAAACCGCTTCTTAAGATGCCATCTCAGGGGTGGCCCAACTATCTCCTAGTGCCCCACTGGACCTTACCCTGGATGCTTCTCTCCCTCTCCCTTCCAGTCTACCAGCCTCAGTATCCCCTTCTGATGCAGTCTCCATAAAATAGCCAGGTTTCCTCTTTGGTATATCAGCTTTCTATAACCAAACCTGCCTCTGGCTGGTCCTCCCATTATAATCCTCCATGGCTCTGCAGTAATCCCAGGCCTCTGCTCTCCCCTCTCCATTTATAGCCAAGTCCACTTCACTTTTCCATTGACATTTTTTGGCATTTGGGGACCTCTTTATTTAACCAACCCCTCAGTTTAAAACCCTCTCGTGACTCTTCATTTCTCCCAGAGCAATAGCCAAAGTCCCCGTAGGATCTGTCCCCTTCCATATCATCCTCTTGCCCCCATCTCCTCATACTCTTTCCACTCCCACCCTGAAACTCCCTCTGCTCCAGCCAGACTGAACGTCCAGCAGATCCTTGAACAGGACAAGGCTTCAGCCTCAGGGCCTCATCAAAGCCTTTTCCTTTGTTTGATTTACTGTTTTCTCACATATCCTCCCGGCTCTTCTCCTTCACCTTGCTTCATTCTTCATCTCCTTACTGTTTCTTTCTTTTTTAAAAGCACACAACACAACACAATCCCTTCTAACGGAGCCCTAGTGGCATTGTAGGATTAGGATGTGCACTGGACTGTTAACCGCAAGATCAGCAGTTTAAACCCATCAGCAGCTCCTGGGGGAACAAGGAGGCATTCTGCTCCCTGAAAGATTTACCATCTCTAAAACCCTATACATGGTCACTATGAATTGGAATCCAGTTGATGGCAGCGGGCTGAGTTTTATCTCTTGTACCATCTTACATCATTTTACTACTATTTTGGGCATCTGGATCTGTGCCTCTCCCACTGCCCTTACCAAGCCATTCCTGGGTTCCATCAGCTCTGCCCAAACCCCAAATGATTTCCCTACTTTGAGCTTCAGCTTCCCCTTTTGCCACACTTACTTCCTAGAATTATTGGGATATAGTGATTTTGAGAATTAAAAGCGTCACTGTACTTTGTACGCATAGAACAATACTTAACTCATGTCTCACTGCTGAACCTGGGGAAACTGAGGCAGGGCCAAGAAAAGGAACCTCCTCAAAGTCACAAGCTCAGGATCCCCTGTCTTACCGCACAACACTGCCTAAGTCACCACCATTCAATTTCAAAGTTACTCTGGCCATAGAACCAAGAGGGTATTGAAGGTGGCAAGAATCTCTTGATACCCGAGATCGCGAAAGTCAAACGGATCGTAGGGAGAAGTTGGGAGTCAGTCCGATCACGAGAATACTGAGTGTTGGAACTCTCCAACTCTGATCAGCAGGGAGCTCTCCAACAGGCCCCGAACCTCGGCGTCCTCACCTGATTTTTCCACTTTCACCTTCACCGGGAACATGGTTTGGACTCCGGGTCTGGCTAGCTGGGTCAGATGAGTCCCAAAGCGCTTGTGGTCATCAGTCAAGGCCCGGGCCCGCGCGTAGACTTCAAAGATAAGTGTTTGGCCAGTTCACAACCCTCAGCGATGTCCGGCTGCGACCACCACCTCCCTGTTTTCCCATTTGTGGGCGGTCCCGTTCGGCAATATCTTGTTTCCATTGGTCAACGTACCCGTCGATCTCGTATCATGACCAATTGGTAGTTCATGCCGAGGACTCCTCGGTCTATGTTCCACCTTCTGGGGGGCGTTTCCGGAAACAAACCAACGACAGTCCAGGTCGTATCTTGGGAGGTGTAGTTCAAGCTCCTGAGACTCCTTAAGAATAACAACGCCTGCGCCTCGCGGGGCACAGTGGGAGACGTAGGACCTGACATCATGAGGCTTTTTGGGACTTGTAGTTCTAGAAGCGCAGAGTAACACCAATTTAGTTATCTGTTGTTCTTGCAAAGTGCTGTGGAGTCGGTTCCAACTCATAACGACCCTGGAAAGGATTCCGAGGAGCAGCGGTGGGTTTGAGCCCTAACCTTGTGGTTAGCAATCCAGTGCTTATCCTATAGTGCCGCAGCAGGACTCCAATTCAGTATAGACAAGATTTAATGAACTGGAGAAACCCTTCTTGTCCTTAGTAGGAAAACAATTCTGGGGTTAGGTGTCCACACAGGACATATCTCTTACTGTGCTGTCGCTTTGTTACTACATGTAACCAACATGTTAATCTCTTTTTAGGCAAATCCTCATTCATTTAACAAATATTTATTGTCCCTGGCACTCTTCCAGCCATTGAATTCAAAACAAACTAAAATTCTTGCCCTGATGAAGTTTATATTTTACAGGATGAGTGAAAGATAATAAATAGGTACAATAGTCTCCTTCAAATTGATTGTAGTTTTTGTTCCAGCTGGTTCTAACTCATAGAGACCCCTGGATTGGGTTTCCAAGGAGCGACTGACGGGTTTGAACTGCAGACATTTCAATGAGCAGTCTGGTGCTTATCCCTGCAGCTCCATACCAGTTTGGCTGACACAAAGACTAAACCCTGGAAGGGACATATCACAGAGGGGTGAAGAGTTTGAAATAGGAGGATCAAGAAAGGCTTTCTTTGAAAAGTTCTTGGATATTTCTATTGCTGCAGACAATAGAACTTTCTTCAGAAAATGAGAAACTTTCATTAACCACATACCAGGGTAAGTAAAAAAAGTATTGGTACAAAATCATAGAAATGGTTATTAAACAAAAATATCAAAATGTGAAGCAATTGCTTCTCGACATATCCTTCATCTAGGTCTATACACTTCTGAAAGTGGTGTTTCCATCTGTCTAATGCTTTGAAAACTGGACAGTGAATAAGGAAAACCAAAGAGGAATTGATGTTCCTGAATTCTGATGGTGACGAAGAATATTGAAATGACCACAGACAACCGGAAGAACAAACAAAGCTGTCTTAGAAGAAATACAGCCAGAATGCTCCTTAGAAGTGAAGATGGCAAGACTTTCTCTAAAATACTTTGGATGTGTCATCGGGAGGGAACAGTCCCGGGAGAGGGGTATCATACTTAGTAAAGTGGAGAGTCATTGGATTGACACAATGGCCACAACAGTAGGATCAAACAACAATTGTCAGCATGGTGCAGGACTGACCAGTGTTTTCGTGTTGTTCAGAGGGTTGCTGAGTAGAAGCCAACTAGACAGCAACTAACAACAAGGACAGCCCTTTTCTGAAGAATTCTGCACTCTGACTTACACCATGTCAAAACATCCGTTTGAGCATCTTTGAGGGTCTCATATTGTGTTCCTTTTCAATGTTCTTTGTGTTTGGGGAACAAAAAGATGTCTGAATGGGTACAACCAGGGCTGTAGGGTGGATGGCTAAGGCTTCTCAATGGAAATCTCATAGCACAGCCCTTGTTACTTGCAAAGAATGAGCAGGTACATTGTCGTAATGAAAAAAAAATACCTTAAGTGAAACTTGCCTGGCCTTTTCCTCAAAAATGCGGTTTTCAATTTTCTTTGAACTTTCCCATAAGTCCCCATGATCATCTTGTGTCCTTCAAGAAAATCTATCAAGATGACCCCTTTGGAATCTTAAAAAAGTTTACCATTGACCTTCTGAGCTGACCTCTTTGCCTTGAATTTAACTGGCTTAGCAGGTCCCCTCAGAAGTCAGTGTTTTGACTGAATCTTGTTTTGAAGGCACCCTAAGGAGACTAAGACAAGTGTCTTACTGAGAGAACTTGTCTGCAGGCATCCACTAATCACCACAGAGACATGTTTAAACATATTTTGTTTGGAATAAACCTGTGCATGTATGAACTGGAACCTTCATAGCAGTACGTCTTTTTGACTTACCCTCAAATGTCTTGTTGTGTTATTAAGTGCCATCGAGTCAATTCCGACCCATAGTAATTCTGAGGAACAGCTAGTAAGCTTGAACTGCCAACCTTATAGTTCGAACTGACTTTGCAGTCCAGCGCATTAACCCACAGCTCCACAGTCCAGGTAAGTACCAGGTGGTAGCATTGGCATCTATGCTTCTGAAGAGAATACCGAGACCCAGGATGAGAAATTCATGTGTTTAAATTCATGTATTAGTACAGGATAGCAGCCCTTAGAAATGGATGCACTATTTCCTTGTTCAAAAGCAAAGATGTCACTTTGAGGACTAAGGTGCATCTGACCCAGGCCATGGTATCTTCAGTAACCTCATATGCACATGAAAGTTGAACAATGAAAAAAGACGATCATAGAAGAATTGATGCATTTGAGTTATAGTGCTGGAGGAGAATATTAAAAGTTCCATGGACTGCCAAAAGAAACAAATCTGTGTTGAAAAAATACAGCCAGAATGCTTCTTAGAAGCCAGGATGGCCATACTTTGTCGCTCATACTTCGGACATCATATCAAGAGGGACTAGTCCCTGGAGAAGGACATCTTGCTTGGTAAAGTGAAGGGTCAGTGAAAAAGAAGACCCCCAACGAGATGGATTGGCTCAGTGGCAGCAGCAATGGGCTCAAGCATAAAGGATTGTGAGGCTGTTGCAGGACCGGACAGTGTTTCATTCTGTTGAGCATAGGGTTGCTCTGAGTTGGCACTAACTTGATAGCACCTATCAACACTATTCCACTCTTGGTTCTTCATCTGCAAAATAGAGTTCCTTATTTAAAAAGTTCCTATTTCAATGGATTATGAGTGAAGAATATTCAGTGAAAACACACACAAAGTAAACACTCAACAAATATTTCTGAATATTAATAATCATCTTATGCTTTTACCCCCAAAAAAATACCAGGAAGTCAATATTGAGAATCAGGGTACTTTATTGAAGGATATCAACAGAGACCAAGGGAGATGCGACTCAGTCTTGGTGGGCTCAAAAGTAAGCCTAGAGCACGGGAACCCATCCTGAGAGAAGGTCTGTGCAGGAGGTGTCAGGGCGTGCCCAGAGGTATGGTGAAGGAGAGGTAGTCTCCGAGGGCACCCCAACGGGGTCGGTAGATCTGGAAGATGGTGATCCAGGTGGTGAGCACAATTACCCAGAAGAGGAAGCCCACAGCTGACCGCCAGACATCTGTAGGGGGAACCAGAGTGGGGGTGCTTGGTCTGTAGCCACTCTGTGGGCTCGCCCAGCACAGTTTCCTTCTTTTTAACAGAGTTCCAAGATTCTGGAACTTCCATCATCCCCTCTCACCAAAGCTCCAGCTTCCCTCTCCCTCTACCCCTTCCTGTGTGTCAGACTCACAGCCCTTGATTTGGCTCTGCTCCGTGTAAGCGGGGGCAAGGAAGGCCTCTCGGAAGAACCAGAAGATGTTGACCAACCAGAGGAAAGGCAGGAAAGCAAACCCACCTGGAGAGAAAAAGACAATTTAGACCTTCCCCATCACCCTCCAAGGAGCTTTGGTAGCGTAGTGGTTACAAATCGGGCTGTGAGCCTTAAGGTCAGCAGTTCGAAACTACCAGCCGCTCAGCGGCAGAAAGATGAGGCGGTCTGCTCCCGTAAAGATTTACAGCCTCGGTCGCTATGAGTCGGACCCGACTCCACGGCACATAACAACAACAATAACATCACCCTCCAGGCTCTGATGAGGTCTACTTGCAAAATCCTCCCTCACACGCAAATGAAGAGCTCTGCTCTCAAAGGTTTGGGAATCCTGGTTCCTTCCTGGGCTCCAGAAATCCGAGTCTGCAGCCACTCCTTCCTCAAGACCCAGGAACTCGACACTAGAAGTCCAATCCTATGGACCTCTCCTCCTTCTAGACCCAGGAGTGTGCTCCTTCAGATTCCTCCATCCAGGAACACAGGCCCCCAAGATTCTCTTCCAACAGCCCCCAATCTTCCCCTCTCTTGGGCCCCAGGAATCTAGGGCCTCAGTCGTCTCTTTTCTCAGAATCCAAGGTCTTCGCCTAAAACTCAGTAATCCGAAACCCCAGCCCCTTTACTATCTTAGACGGATCAGACCCCCAAGGCCCTCCTCCCTCAGGTTTATTAGTCCAATCTCCCATCTCTCTTCTCCTGGGACCCTAGGCAACCGGTCCTTACCCAGGTAGTACTTCCGACACAGGTTCAACTTCTCCTCGTTGGACACTCGCTCCAAGTTCATAGTTGCTTAGGTCCTGAGTTGTCCCAGGGGTCTCTGGGGCAAGACCCAAGTCTTGATCGTTAAATGACAGATGCGAGGATCGCCAACAACCACGCCCTTGTCACGACAAAACGGACACAAACTCAGGGGGTGCCTTTACTGAAAGAAGGACATCTCCGCCCCAACTGCAAGCTGACTGGGCTAAAACGTTCTTTGTTTATTGGGTTCTGCGAAACTACCCCCAACTCACCAGTGAAGTGGAACCCTACTTTCTCTGGCTTGATGCTCTTGTACTTTCAGTCGCGGACGTCTGCAGGAGGTGTCGCAGGTATCTCTGGAGCTTGTAGTCTTTTGGGGGTTAGCGGGAAGGGTGAGGAAACGTAGTGCGCATGCGCTTGCTGGGAACTCCGGTCAGAGATTCTGTGCGGAAGGCAAAAGCCACCAATACACAAGCGTGTGAGAAGCGCCCCGAGGCAGAGACGAACTACACTTCCCAGCGCTCCTAAGGAACGGAAGTGACGTAAGGAGCAGACGGGGTTGGAGGGTTCGGGTAAAAATGGCTGAATATTTAGCTTCGATATTCGGAACTGAGAAGGACAAGTGAGAACGGGAGTAGGGAGTGACCCCTCGGGAGAGCCGGGGACGGGGCATTTGGGTCCCAAATGACTGGGCGGCTTGGGGTGGTGTTTCTGGGGTGTCCGGCCTCCCCGGCCCTCAGTTCACCTCTGTCTTTGCACCTCTTCCAGGGTTAACTGCTCTTTTTACTTTAAGATCGGGGCCTGCCGGCACGGGGACCGGTGCTCCCGGCTTCACAACAAACCGACGTTCAGCCAGGTGAGGCCCAGTACGGAGCTCAGGGGGTTAACGCCTCTTGGTCCTTCCCCTTTTGTCGTCCATCATCATGAGGTCCCGCCTTTTCCATGTTTGTAAGGCCCACATCACCTTCAAGCTCGACACCCCACTTCCTCTCCCCGCTCCGGGAGCCTAGCCACGCCCCGTAAAACGCCACCCTTGGGCTGTCCATCACTGCTAGGTATTCCGTGTCTTGGTTTCCTTTGGGCCAAGCGTCGCTGCAGCTCTCAATGTGCCTGGGCTCTGCCTCGGCTGCCAAGTGCCCCCCACATGTAGTCTCTGCTCCAAGACCTTTGCATGTATCTCTACCCTGTGCTCAGACCCCACTCCTTTTAACTCTGTTCAGACCATAGTGCTGCTCAACTTGTACCGGAATCCACAGAACACGGCCCAAACTGCAGATGGATCGCACTGTGAGTGAGGGGCTGAACTTGGGGGCAGGACAGACAGCCCCCCCCCAACAGGCCACCCTCCTGATCCCACCCTGCCCCCCTCCTCCAGGTCACGTCAGCGACGTGGAAGTGCAGGAACACTATGATAACTTCTTTGAGGTGAGGGTTGTAAGGGATGGGTTGGGTGTCCTGTGGGCCAGAAGTTCAACAAAGTTCTGCCTGGTTTTCTCCAGGAGGTGTTCACAGAACTGCAGGAGAAGTATGGGGAGATTGAAGAGATGAATGTGTGTGATAACCTGGGAGACCATCTCGTGGGAAACGTCTACGTCAAGGTGCCTGATGTCTCCCCATTGTTGTTGTTTGGGACTGTTGAGTTGACTCCTGTGGACCTTGCATACTACCTAGTCCTGTGCTGATGGTTGGCAGCCACTGTGTCAGTCCCTCTCATTGAAGGTCTTCCTCTTAATTACTAAAACTCTGTACCAAGCATGATGTACTTCTCCTGAGAGCATGTCCAAATTACGTGAGACAAAGTCTTGCCATCTTTGCTTCTAAGGAACATTCTGGCTGTACTTATTCCAAGACAGATTTGTTCCTTCTTCTGACAGTTCAGGGTATATTGAATATTCACCAACACCATAATTCAAATGCATCAATTCTTCAATCTTCCTTATTTTTTGTTCAGGGTTGTAACCTTTCACTATACTTATTCATGCATTGCATCTGCAAAAGCATACATGTGAAGCAATTGAAAACTTCATGGTTTGGGTAAAGCAGGCATATTTTAGTCCTCAAAGTGCCACTTTTGCTCTTTAACCTTTAAAGAGGTCTCTTGCAACATATTTTCCATATGCAGTATACCATTTGACTTGTTTACTGCTTCCATGGGTGTTCGTTGATTGTGGATCCCAGTAAAATGAAATCCTTGACAACTTCAATCTTTTCTCCATTTGTCATGATGCTGTTTGTTGGTCCAGTTGTGAAGATTTGTGTTTTCTGTTGAGGTGTAAGCCATACTGAAGGCTGTGTGGTTGCCTCGTCTGCATATCACAGGTTGTTAATGAGCATTTCTTCACTTAGACTAGCTCCTTGGATTATTTGCTCAGCATCCAGATTAAGTATAGTGAAAGGATACAACCCTGGTGTGCACTTCGCTGATTTAAAACCACCCAGTATCCCTTGTTCTGTTCAAATGACTGCCTCTTGGTCCATATACAGATTCTACTTGAGCACAATTAAGTGTTCTGAAATTCCAATTCTTTGCAGTTATTCTTAATCTGTTATGGTCAAATACTTTTATGTAGTCAATAAAACAGAGTTACTCATCTCTCTGGTATTCTCTTTCAGCCAAGAGCCAGCTGACATCAGTAGTGATACCCTTCTGAATCCAGTTTTGGTTTCTGGCACTTCCTTACTGCTGTACTGCTGTAACCATTTCTGCACGATCTAAGGCAACGTTTTATGAGCATGTGATATTAATGCTATTGCTCAATAATTTCTGTGTTCTGTTGGATCATTTTCCTTTGCAATGGTTACAAATAGGGATATCTTCCCATTGGTTGGCCAGATAGCTGTCTTCCAAATTTCTTAGCACAAATGTGTGCTTCCAGCATTGCATCTGTTTATTGAAACGTCTCAACTAGTATTCCTTCAGTTCCTGGAACCTTGCTTTTCACTAATACTTTCAGTGCCAGTTTGACTTCTTCCTTCAGTACCATTGGTTCTTAATCATATGTTACCTCCTGAAATGGCTGAACAATTCTTTTTGTGTATTCCTTCCCTCTTCTTTTGATGCTTCCTGAATTAAGAAACATTTTGCCCATAGACTCCTTTAATAGAGCAACTCAGGAAATGAATGTTTTCTTCTGTTCTCTCAGCTTGAGAAATGCTGAGTGTGTTTCTTTCCTTTTGGTTTTTAAACTCCAGGTCTTTGTACATTTCATAATAATACTTTGTCTTCTTGAACACCTTTTTGAAATCTGTTCAACTCTTTTATCATTTCGTCCATTTGTGGTTATGAGATGGACTGCAATCCGCAAGCTCAGCAGTTCGAATCTGCCAGCTGCTGTGCAGGAGAAAGATGAGGCTTTCTGCTTCTGTAAAGATTTACATAAATGCCTTGGAAACTCTATACTGGGTCGCTCTGAGTCAGAACCGACTCCACGGCACACAATTACCACCACTACCACCACTCTGCTCAAGAACAAGTTTCAGAGTCTTTTCTGACATCCATTTCAGACTCTTTTTCTTTGCTACCTTTATAATGATCATTTGCTTTCTTTATGTATGATACCCTTGATGTGATCCCACAACTCTTGTGGGCTTCAGTCATGATTGTTCACCTAATCTTGAGATGATCTCTAAATTTAAGTGGGATGTATGCAAAGTAATACTTTGGTTCTTATGTCCTTGTTTTAATTTTCGTCATCTTCAATTTGACTTGCATTATGAGAATGAGAGCCTAGAATCAGAAGCATCTCAGTGTCAAACAAGCATGACTGAAGCCTCATGACTTGAGGTTCATTGCTAAATCCTATTTGTCCCTAAAACTGCCAACTGACTAGTCCCCAGAAGATTTCGGAGTTTGATTGTCAACCCTGACTCACTTTCCCCTTAGTTCCGGCGGGAAGAGGATGCAGAGCGGGCTGTGACTGAACTCAATAACCGCTGGTTCAATGGGCAGGCCGTGCACGCTGAGCTCTCTCCTGTTACTGATTTCCGGGAGTCATGCTGTCGGCAGTATGAGATGGGGTACGGTGGTGGTACAGGGACGGGACGGGCATTCGGAGGGCCGGGGTCCTGCATGTGTAAGTGGGCAGTGATGTCAAAAGGTCTCCTTCTGTCCAGGGAATGTACGCGCGGCGGCTTCTGCAACTTTATGCACCTTCGCCCCATCTCCCGGAACCTTCGCCGGCAGCTCTATGGGCGGGGATCTCGGCGCAGGTACCTCAAGACTAGCCTTCCAAGACTCAGCCTACCCCAAGGCCAGACCATCTACCCTGAAATGAGACTGATCCTGTGTTGTAATTGCTGTGGGTTAATGTGCAAGACTGCAAAGCCATTTGAACTGCAAGGTTGGCAGTTCAAGATCACCAGCGGCTCCTCAGAAACCCCTATACAGGGTTACTATGGGTCGGAACCGACTCGACGGCACTTAACAACAACAAGCCCTTTGTACCCTAAAAATAGCCCCAACCTGCACCCTGATATCAGCATCTAAGTCTTGACCCACAGACCTACCCAAATCCCCACCCAAGATTAGTCTGAACTTCTCCCAGATCAACCCAACTCCTTCCTTCTAGATTAATTACCCTAGGAACCCGTCTTGCCCCAATGCAGGGAGGCAGGTCTTCAAGATCTGCCCACTGCTTACTCCCCATGACTCTAACCTTTCCACTCCTGCTTCCAGGTCACCTCCGAGGTCCCATGCTGGCCACCGTCCCCGAGAAAGGAATCGCCGGCGTTCCCCAGACCACCGACATGGCCGTTTTTGAAACTCTGGCCCCCTTGTCCTCTACCCTTGACAGGCACAGTTCCTCTTCTGACCCCTCCTCAGAACTTCCCTCCCTTTCCATCCCCACCTCCCGGGCTCCGGAACTCCACAATGAAATCTGTTGGACGCAGGGACCTAATAAAGTACGTATTTGTTAGCTTGTGGGCTGGAGTTTCTTCTCCACCCCCATGTCTCCTAACAAAAGGGGAAGTGGGGTTGGGTTCCGGTCAGAACCTCGGCAGCGGAACTTCACACAACAGGTGGGGAAGCAGCAGCCCCGAGCCCTAGAGGCCCCTAAATGGGACTGGTGGGGTGGGAACACCTTTGAATAGGAAACCGCAGAACTTTCATTCAAGTCTGCTCCTAGAGGGTGACAGCAGGTTGGGGCCGATTGGAGGATTCACACAACCCCGGAGGAGATGGCTGAAGTGGGGTGGCTAGAGGAGAAGGACTCTAATGGGGGTTAGGGCTGGGCTCTCAATGCCCAGTGCCCTGAAATGGGAGTTGGTACCTAACCTGTAAATTGTACTTCTGTATGCCAGGTGGTGTTCTAAGGGCTATACTTCTAGTAACGATTATAACTCTACCATAACCCGAAAGGGCAGGTATTCCTCCATTTTACTATGGGAAAAAGGAGGACGGGAGGTTGAGCAAATGCCAGGTATTTATAGAGCCCTGGTGCCTAGCGCCTAGCTATCTGAGGCATTATGAGTTTGGGGATAAAAAGCTGGGGGGGTGGGTAGGAAGCAGATTCCTGGCTTCCAAATGGACCTGAGGGTTTCAAGCCTCCACATACACTGCTTCCTTCCTTCAATCGGGTTTCCTGACAAGTGCGGCAGAGGCTCTGTGGCCGGAAGTCCTGTGGTCACGGACCCCCAGATTGCAGGCCCCACCTGATGGGTCCTCGAAGCCTCCTGACCACCGTACTGCTCCTGGCCCAGGTGAAGCCGCTGAAGGCCTCCCAGTTCTGCGGCCACCTTGACTACTGGAACCCAGACAACAGGTGCTGTGGCAGCTGCCTGCAGCGCTTCGGGCCGCCCCCCTGTCAGGGTGAGGACCCAGCGCTTCGGGGGGCTCCCCTGTCAGGGTGAGGACCCAGCGCTTTCGGGGGGCCCCGTCAGGGTGAGGACCCAGCGCTTCGGGCCGCCCCCTGTCAGGGTGAGGACCCAGTGCTTTGGGTCACCGCCCTGTCGGGGTGAGGACCCAGCGCTTTGGGGGGGGCCCCGTCAGGGTGAGGACCCAGCGCTTCGGGCCGCCCCCTTGTCGCGGTGAGGACCCAGTGCTTTGGGCTGCCCCCCTGTCCCTAGGCATATATCCAAGCCAGAGAAGGAGGAGCGGGTGAGGAAGTAGGGTCTGTCCTGTTTACTTACTGGTAAACTGAGCCTGTGCGGAAGCGGATAGAGTGGGTTTAAGTAAGATAAGGCAGCAGCGACTATGTGGTGAAGGCTCTGAGGGGAAGAGGTGGTTTTACGTAGAGAACTCTAGGTATGGGCTGAGCTTAGCCAGTATAGGTGGGGCCTGCGTCGAAAAACCTAAAGGAGTCCTAGTGACGCTGTGGTTTAGGCATTGGGCTGCTAACCACAAGGTTGGTGGTTCAAACCCACCAGCCATCTGCAGGAGAAAGATGAGCCTTAGTCTGCTCCTGTAAAGATAGTTTCAGAAGGCCTATATAGGCTTCCTATGAGTCCGAATGGACTCGATGGCAGTGTGTTATTTTGTGTGTGTGTGCGTATACAAATGGTTTCTACGGAGGCTTGTGTGGGGAGGCTGGCTGGGGTGGAGACGGAAGCAGACAGAAGGGGGTGAGGAGCTTAGAGGGGGCGGGGCCTGCGGGGCCAGAGCAATGGAGAAAGGGTGTCCTGAGCGCCAAGAGAAGCCAGATGCGAACGCCTATCTCCCTTTAGACTTTGAGTTCGCGACAAACTGCGGGCTCGATGATTCCGGCAATCACCTAACATACCCCTTCAAAGAATGCCCTGCTGGGTGGTGTAACCGGGAAGGTGCGGAGCTGTGCAGGCCCTGTGGTGGCCGTGCCCCGACCCCTAAGAAGCGCAGCACTGGAACCAAGAAGCGCTGTGCAAAGGTGCTGGGAGCCTGAGGGCCTGGGATTTGCCTGAAGGGGTGGAGATGTCTGGGGCGTGGTTTGGGACGGGGGGTGGGGCCTGCATCCAGGGAGAAGTAGCTGCACTGGGATGGGATGGGAGCAAAATAAAATTCCAAAGCGTCAGGACTGGATCAAAGGTGGGGATGTGGCCTCCTTGAAGATAAGGATGGGTCCTTCGGGCTTAGAGAGCAAGAGTGGGCTGTGGCCCTTGGCTTTACTCCAACTTCCATTCCCAGAGGCAGGTCCCTACCAAGAAGCCCTGCCCACGGCCATATACACCATCTATCAACCTTAGCGCCCAGGAACCCAGCTCACCAGTAACTTCCAGATTGTCCTGGACTTCGGAGCACCAGCACACTCCTGCAGACAGTGTCTCTCCGCAGACCCTGCGGGGCTTTCCCCTGCAGGTGGTGGTGGTGGTGGTAGTGGTCTTACTGGTCACCAGCTCGCTGATCTTCCTGCTTGCCGTACGCAGGTGCCGCTGCAAGAGGAAGGGCAGCCCTGTCCCCTCTCCAAGCTGGGCTTGTGATGGTAGAGACTTGCTCTTCCCCTTGCACTCGGCAGCCCCAGTATCCCTGAAAGCACCAAAGGTCCAGGCCAAGCTGGTCTCTCTGCATCCCCTCCAGGGTACAGGTGAGTCAGGCACTGGGACAGGATGGGGCAGGGGGACTGGAAGGCTGCCCTTATCTCTGCCTTACCCCCTTCCCTGGTCCCCCAGAGCTGCAGACCCTGGAGACACAGCCACTGTCTCTCCTCCTGGATGAGCTGGAGGTGCTGGAGGAGTTGATTGTGCTCCTGGACCCAGAGACTGGGCCAGGTGGGAGCATGGCTTGCGGCACCACTCGGCACCTGGCTGCACGGTACGGGCTACCGGCTGCCTGGTCCACCTTTGCCTACTCACTGCGACCCAGTCGCTCACCACTGAGGGCCCTGCTAGAGATGGTTGTGGCAAGGGAGCCCTCCGCCTGCCTGGGTCAGCTTGCTGCACACCTGGTCCAGATTGGGAGGACAGATGCTCTGCAAGTGTTATCTAAGCTCAGCTGATCTGGGGTGTACCAGCCTAGTCCTCAATAAAGTTTCCCTTGAAGTATCTGTCTGTTGTCTACCCTTTTGGGGTAGAAACCCAGTTGGGCCAAGAATTCTCATTTTCCTTCCAGAAGGGCTCATTCTCATCATTCACACCAGCGTGTGACAGCAACCAGGGCCCCTTGAATAATAAAGAGTTCTGCTACCCCAGGGCCTGCGCATCCCCAAGGTCTCAGATGAGCTCGCTGCTCTGAAGCCTTAGGCAACCTCAGTCTCCTCCCGACTCTGGATGCTGTTCAGCCTCTCATCTCACGTTGAGTGGAGGCTGCCAGGCTTCCTTGGCTTAGGATGGATGTGGATGCAGGTGGGTTCCCCCAGCACCACAAATGGGAAGACCACATCTCCAAACATTGACAGACTTTATTGTGGAGGGGTTCCCACCTGGGACCCCCCCCTCTTAAATAAAAAAGTGCATAGAAAAGAAGGGATTTAGAAACTTTTGTACAATATCTACATACTGGGCCCCGAGGGCAGGAGAGGGCCAATTGCTAGGTGGGCTGGAGGGATGAAGGCAGGGTCCCTGTCACCTGTAGGCCCGTAGCCACCCTGAACATGGGGGTGAGGGTGAGATGCTCTGGAAGGGACTATGGAGTCTCCCCACCCCCAGACAAGGGAGACAATGGCAGAAGGTGGGGTTCCCACAGCTTCAGTTAAGGAAGCGACGGCAGCGCTTGGCGCCACAATTGCAGGGCAGCTTGTTGCTGGCATCCTCAATGGGGAACTTGTAGTCGTAGGTGAGCTCCTCCCCACGCAGGATGCGGCGCAGAGCGAAGATGACAATGTGCTTCTGGCCCTCCACGTGGATGACACGGGAAAAGCAGTTGGGCTCACAGGAGTGGTTGATGAAGCGGGCAGCATTGCCGTGCATCGTGGCGTCTACCACGTCAAAGTCGTCCATGCGGAACATGTAGCACCCAATACCCTACAGGGGTGGGCGAAAGTCAAGGACTCTGGCCCCAGAGAGGTGCCATACTCCACCCACCTCATTCCCATGGCCTGATGGGGAGCCCACCTTCCCATCGTAAAACTTCTCTCGCTTGTCAGTCAGCACAGAGCGAATGACGATGCCCGAGTACTCGATGACCATCTCCCCAGCATCTATGTTGCGTTTACAGAACAAGCCCCTTCCATGGATGGCTGACCTGCAGAGGAGGGAGGCGAGGGGGGCCTCAGGGGGAGGGGGGTGAAACCAAGGCAGCCCCACACCAGGGTGCCTGTCCATCCACCCAAGGGGCATTCTCCCCCCCCAACCCCACACACCTATAGACCCCCACGGCCTCTTTAGACGTCTTCTTGAGGTGACGGAAGCGCATGGCCATGGGCAACTCCAGGCTGGTGGCACGTCTGGGGGGAGGGGAGCATTAGGGTCACACAGGCTGAACCCTAGAAATGACTTCTCTCTTGCTCCAGGTCATCCCCAGCCTCCCTTCATACCTGGTGGACCTGAGCTGCACCTCATCCTCTTCCTCATCACAGGTGGCCCCCTCAGGGAGTACTCGGTGCTGGGAAGCCAGGAAGTTGAACATGTCAAAGGTGCACTTTCTGTAGGTGGAGCAGGGGAGGGGAGAAGAGCAGGAGGAGACTCATGAGTTGTTCCTTCAAAGAGATACTGCCTCCCCATTCAATGGCCTGGCCTTACAGGCAGGGAGGAGGAAGACACAGCAAAAGGAGAAATCCTCCTCTGTGAACTCTGCAGGAGTCTAGTGTCTTCTCTCCAGGCCTCCCTAGGCCCCAGCATGACGCCCCCAACTCTCACCGAAGATAGACCTCGGCACGGGCTGCCCCGTGGGGGTTGAGCGGCGGCTCCTCCTGACCCTCTCCCTGCTGGTGGTAGCGGAACTTGTAGTGCTGGCAATGCTGGGCCCCGGGCAGCTGCTCCGCCAAGAAGATGACAGCATCGTGCTGGATGCCCAGAAGCCTCGCCCCACTCATTCCTGGGGAGTCAAAGGTGACAACAGCCATGTGGAAGGCCCATCTTGCCCTCGGGGAATCATCCCAGCTCCCAGAGTTCCCCACTTACCACTGAAGGAGAGGTGTCTGAGGCGGGCATGCCCGCGGGCCTCTTGCACTTTCTCGATCAGAGCTCTCCAGGCCCCTGAGGGGAGAGAGGACAGATAGGGCCAGAGCTGGGTCAGGACAGTGTTCTCCTGGGCGCTTGCCCTCCCAGGCACCGCCACTCCTGACTCACCCTCTAAGCTCTCTGCCTCCACGCTGAACCCATCCTCACTGCTGATCTGGAAGCGCAGGTGTGGGCCAGCCCGTTTGGGGGCCTGGTTCTCTTTGTCCTCTAGAGGTGGAGGCTCTTCCTCGGAGCTTGAAGCTTCACCTGGTCCCAGGGAGCATGTCAGAGTGGCTGGGGATCACCCTTCCTGGACTCAAAGCCTCTCTCCCCAGGTCCCCACTGCCCTCCCAGTAGACAACACTCTCCCTTCCTCTCCAAGCACAAGCACAGATACTGGGGTCTGATGGCCCTCCTCCTGCTTCAACTGTCAGTGAATCCTGCAGAACAGACATGATTTGTTCCAAAGGGGTCTGCAGGGCCTTCTCTGCACATCTTCTTATCCAGAGGAGCAGGTCCATGGAGCCCTGGAGGGGTGTGCCTTGGTACACCCACCTACGACTCACTCAAACCGAGTGTACACAAATGCCCACCCACCCTATGCTCCTCCTCCTGAGAAACCATCTTGGAGCAATACATTTGCACACACATTGTTTTACGATATAATTCCCTTCTGTGAACACTGCCGACAGAAAGTGTTATGTAGGTCCACACTTACAGGACCACATATCCTGTGCACTGGGAACTAGTTAAGGAATCCCTCAAAGGCTAATTCTGACTAGGTAGTAATTTGCTTTGTGCACTAGCTTTGGGTGCGTTCATCTGAATGACTCACAAGTCTTTTCTGACCCAAAGCCCTGCCCTTGTGGAGTTGACATTCTAGTCTGAGGAGAAACACTAAACAAGTGAAATACACAGGGCCAGATGGTAGAAAACACAAGGTTCACGAGAGGGATGTGAAGTGTTCCTAGAACAACGAAATGAACAGATCATGGAATATTTACATTTAAGAGGAGAAAGAGGATTTTGTTGTCATTGCCACTTTCCAAGTTGTTCATCTAATATTTAAATTTTTAGAAAATGGGGGGTGGAGAGTGGAGTTTTCTAAAAATGCAAACATTTCTTAAAACAGCAAGAAGAGTGTTCACAGACAGACATGTTTCCCATGCTCAGGGAGACCTCGCTGGGACTGAGGAGGGAGAGAGAGAGGAAGCCACTGGGAAGAGGCCAAGGCCCTGAGGCCAGAGTACATTCTAGTGTATTCAAGATCTGAGGGGTGGTCATGAACAGGGAGCAGAGTAGAGGGCAGCGAGGTCATGGGACGATGGGACGATGGGGGCGGCCCTGCACTTCCTGAAGAACCTTGGGGGCTGTGGTGAACGGCATGAGGGTGAAAGGAGAAAGGCTCTGAGCAGAGACAGGTCCTGACTGGACTTCAGAGTGCTAACAGGACCCCTCGGGCTTCTTGTGGGAAACCCACTGTGAGGGCAAAACCCTGCAGGAGGTGGAGGGAGAGGCTGGAGATCAGCCCAAGGGTAGGTGTAGAGCAGTGGTCAGATTCTGAAGAGGTTTAAGACCACACAAACAGATGTGAGTATATAAGTGAAAGGGTGGGGGTGGCAAAGACATCTCTGAAGTTTGGGGCCTGAGTAACTAGGAGGTGAGGGTGAGGAAGAACAGGGTTTAAGAAAAGGTCAACAGCCCAATTGAAGGTACACCAGACTCCTGGCGTGGCACTGGAGGATGAACACTGGACTGTGAACCACAAGACAGGCGGTTCAAACCCACCAGCTGCTCTTGGAAACTCTACACAGGGTTGCTATGAGCTGGAGTTGACTTGATAGCACTTAAGCCGTGAAGCTAGAGAAGAGGACTGGGGAGTAGTGAGGGCAGAAAGGTCAAGGCCAGGGTTCTGGACCGGCACACTAAGTAAAGAGGTGAGTGTGAAGCCCTGGAAGGAAGTGCTGCTGGCTCGTGCAGGATGGGGACTGAGATGGACAAAGACCAGCAGGGACCCTGAGCAGTTGGGGTGGAGTGGGAGGAACAGAGTTCAAATGGCACGCAGTGCACCAGGGAGACAGGAACACACTTGGGAGAGGCAAGGACTCCCAAGTCCAAGCTCTCCCCTGCATCACTTCTCTGGGCCAACCTGCCCACCCTCCCGGCCCTCAGCAGAGCCTGGGAGCCCAACTCCTGCTGTGTGTCCATGGTTCACTCCCAGCTTCTTCCAGCTGCACTCTCACCCTGCCGTTCTACCCCCTGCACACACACGGCTGGCTACATGGGCCACCCTGGCACCTTCTCATTGCCTTTTTTACAGAGCTCTTTCTAACCTGTGGTGGACGTGCTAACATACATGTCTGTCTTCCCCTACCAAAATGAGGCACGATCCCTAAGGGCAGGGACCTGTCTTAAATGGTCACCACGATATCCCCACACCTTCTGTGGCCCCCAAAGTAGCCACTTAGTTAAGTCGTTTCTGGCATCTGCACTCTACGTAATGAGAAGTCCAGGCAACCGGGCAAGCCTCAGGCTGCTTGATGACCAACTTCCCTCACACACTGTCCTCAGTGACCACAACCTAAACAGATTCTTCCCATCAGCAGAGACCGAGCTTCATGGAGTCCATCAGTCACGGCGACTCCTACTGTGTCTAACCCTGTCTGTCTCCGTGAATACATGGATGTTGTCTCTTTTCCTCTAGCTCTGGGTCTCTTGTTCCAAATGGCCACTCCCCCAAGTTTTACTACCTCTCATCTCCTCCTCATGACCCTCAGCTGAGCTTTCCGGCACGGGGCACGGTTCCTGTGTGCGCCTTGTTTGGGTTTCCTCACTGTCTTCAGTTCAGAACTCTCCTTGCCCTGCAGGACCCGCCCACACCTTGTCCCAGTCCTGGACCCCCTCTACCTGACTACTCTCTTCCTCTGGGACACTCCTCTCTCCTGATTTTCTTCCCGCTGTTCCTGCCCATCCTCTAGGTCCTGTGTGGGATCCATCCTCTCTGGATGCTCCCGGAACTTTGTAATTGACTTTACAAGGCTTTACTGGGCCTGGCTGACTAGGCTCTGAGGCGCTCACCTGAACAAAGCTCTTTCAGAGGGCAACTCACACTGAGCTGAAATTTCATCTACTTCTGTGTCTGCCACCAGACTATAAGCTGCTGAGGACACGGTAACTGTAGCACCTGGCCTCGGGGTGGTCGGGGTACAGTTATTTTTGGAAGTGGATCAATTCTCTGTCAGTCAGCCCCCTGAATCAAGTATGGGGAAGGATGCCGTGAGGAAGGGACTGGCTCCTACCTGAGTAGTGGTGCCACTGGGCTTCAAGCAGCAAGTCAGGGGGACCACCAGGGACCCGAGGAAGACTACTGTCTGGCAGAGACAGTAGAGGGGACCGTCCCTGGAGGGGCCTGGGAAGAGAGACCTGTCAGCCAGAGGAAAGGCATAAAAGAACAGAGGTGCCGGGGCCTCCAAGGGAGGAGACTGGCCACTTACCCAGGGCTCTCCTCTCCAGTGGGTTCCTCAGGGTCAGCCAGGTCAAACACACCACGCACAGTGGGGGTTTTCATTCTCACGCGGCTTAACCTGGGCGGAACCGTGACGTTGGACCTCCTTCTCCTTCCCACTTCCCTTGCCTGCTTTCCTCCCCAGGCTCAGCACCTGCACTTACCTGCTGCTACTAAGCCCTGGGACCTGGGGGGAGCCCTCCAAGGACTCGCCATCTTCGTCCAGTCGGGGAGTCTTGTTTGGGGGTGGTGCTGGCGGGGAACGGCCCGAGAAGGTGGACACCCTCTTTATTCGAATGGCCTGGCGGGGTGGGCTGGGGGGTCCACTGCTCAATACCAGTGTCAGTGGAGGGGGCGGGGGAGGGGGAGCAGGGCGAACTACCCCGACACCCACCACTGGCAGTACACTCAGCAAGGGGCCTGGGGGCAGAGTCCAAGAGGTGGGGGCTGTGGAGGGGATGGGAGGGGGCAGGGGAGGTTGTTTCACTGGTGATGGGACAGGCTCGCCCTCCCCAGCCATCTTCACAAACACCTGCCCCAGCTTGTTAACAAGGATGATTTTGGACGTGGCGGGCTTGGGGGGCTCAGCGGCAGGGCTCAGGCTCAACACTCGAACTCCTGGGGCCCCAGGGAGCCAGGCAAATGTCCGGGTGGGGTCAGCTGGGCTGGGGGGCAGGCCCTGGGGGGGTTGGCTGCCATTGGCCAGGGGAGGGGGTGGGGGAAGTGGCTCCTCTCTGGGGCCAGCACCCCCTTCCCCAGGGCCCCCTAGATTTTTCAATACAAAATCCACGATTTCTGACGGCAGGTCTTCAGGAGGTCGGGCCCTGTCCCCTGCAGCCCCGATGACCCCTGCCCGGCCCACTCCTGGCCCTGAGGGTGGAGCCCCCTGGCCCCGAGGCTGCTGGATGGCCTCAGCCTCACTGTCTGTGCCATCGTCCACTCCGTCCAGCTGTTCGATGCGAGGGGTTCCAGGGAGGCCGCCAGGGGTCAGGGCCGGGCCAGCCACCACAGCCACAGGGAAGTGGATGTAGTGGGCGCCAGGACTGGCCTCCTCCTCTGAGCTGTCCCCCAGGCCTCCGTGACTGCTCCCCATGGCCCCTGCAGCCACAATCTCTTCCTGGAAGGGCTCAGTCCCCAGCAGGCTGGCTGCAAAGTCCAGATCAGCAGCACTCAGTCCTGACACCACCTCCATGTCCTCAAAGTCTGGGCCCAAGTCTTCAGTGGGTGGCGGAGGAGATGGGGCTGGGCCAGGGGGAGCCAGCTCCCCTGAGGTAGGTGTGAGGGCTGTAATGACTGAGGTAGGAGGGGGCACCCTGAGCTGAGGGGAAGTTCTGAGGGGAGAAGAGGCCCGCCGTGAGGGTGGCAGCCTAGGGGCCAGGGGACTGGGACGGCGAGAGCGTCTTGGGGGAGCTGGGAAGTCTGGGTCTCCCACGGTCGGGATGTGGTGAGCCAGAGAAGATGGGCTTCCTGTAGGTGGAAGGCTCAGCATCAGAATCAGTCAGGAGCTCCTGCCTCACCCCCCGCCAGCCATCCCTGTACGTCCGCATGCTCCCAGATGCTCACCAGGGGAGGGCAGGGGTCCAAAGGAGACACCCCCCAAGGGCCTCCGGGATGGTGAGTAGTTGGGCACTTTGATTCGCGCCCCCGAGAAAGAGCGGGGGGCTGGAGGGACGGTGATGCTTGGATCTGACCGAAATGGGAGATGCAGGTTCTGAATAAGTGGGTGATGCTCAGGAGCTCCGGGAGGGAGGGTATCTGTATCTGGCAACAGGTTCTCATGATCTTGGGGCTCTGAGGAGGCAAGAAGACAGCAGCAGGGGCAGCGGGGTGCTCCCAATAGTCTCTTGTCACATCAGGCCAAACGGGCCTACTCTGCCTGACTCTGACCTGGTTCACGCACACATCAGTCACCCCTCCGTGATATCTATTGCTGTTGATGAGTGCTATGGAGTCAGTTCCAACTCAAAGCGACCCTGTACAGGGTTTCCGAGGAGTGACTGGTGGATTTGAACTGCTGGCATTTCAGTCAGCAATCCAGTGCTTAGCCTACAGTTCCACACCAGCACTTCCTCTGCAGCCCACCTCACTCATCTTTGTCATCTCCCCACCCCAGCCAGTCATCAGGGCTGCCTATGGCTCTCTCATACTGGTTCTGCCCACACACACCACTGGGTTGGTACTCACTCCAGCATGGCCAGTCCTACCACTTTCTGACTCGCTCTGAGCATCCATGCCACATCAAACACATCGCCCCATCCTGCAGCTGCAGGCTCCCATTAGCTGGCTCCACCCAACCGCCGCCTCCTCCCAACATTCCCTTGATTCCCGGCTGGGCAGATGTGCCCTCCTCCTCCTGCGCTTCTTGTCAGGCTGCAGCCTGGAATCAAGCCCCTCCTCCCGTCTTGCTCACAGAGACCTCACTTTCTCTTTACTCGGCTTCAAGCCCGTTCTGTGTCAGCTACAAGTTCTGAACTGAGTCGATGCAATTTAATACCTGGCTCCACCACTATGTTAGCTGGCTCCACTAACTTGACTATAGTAAAGAGGGGCTTGGACTCCCCTCAAAGGGCTGTCAGGTGGTGGTGGTGTTGCTGTTAAGTGCCGAGGGGTCGGTTCCAACTCATTGCAACCCTGTATAAGGAAGGCTTCCACAGAACAGCTGGTGAATTTGAACTGTTGACCTTGTGGTTCCCTGTCTAGTGCTGACCCTATAGCTCCATACTAGGAGTCCTGGCAGCACTACAGGCTAACTGCCGGCTTCCTAACTACAAGGTCAGTGACTCCAAAGCTGTCTGTCAGTCTCCGAAACCCAGAGAAGGAAGCAGTTCTACTCTGTCCTGTTGGGTGGCAGAGAGGTGGCGTGGACTTGATGGCAGTGAGGAAAATGCTGAACACAACCCTGGCACATTGTAGTTATCGACACTACAACGAGCCAACAGCTGGCGAGTGTCCCAGAGTTAGTTTAGGAGAGAAACTGAGGCAGGGCCCAGCGGTACCTGGGGAGGGGGCGGGGCTGTGCACAATGGTCTGGTTCTCTTCGGCCGCCTCCAGGTGAACCGGCTCTTCCCTTGGCCCCCACGGCCGATACTCCAGAATCCGGCACCGATACCAGCAGCGCCGCCGAGCGTCCACCGTGCTCCAGTACAGACGGGAACACCTGGGGGGCAGGCACGTGGGACAAATGGGTTACAATACAGAAAATGGGATTCAGCCCTGGAGTCCGCTGACCCTGACGAGTACCCCCGGACTGCTCACTGGTAGCCAATGGGGAAGAGCCGTCCTTCGCAGTCCGAAAGATCAGACAGAGTACCCAGGGAGTCAATGCGGATGGAGCCTAGGGAGCAAAGGAGAGGTCAGAGGTGGTGCAGCCTGGCAAGCATGGAAGGAGACGGTAGATGGCAGGTGGCTTACCAATGAGCACATTGATGGCATCAGGTTCAAGGCCCGTCAAGAACTTTCGCTTGAAGTTGATGCCCTCAAAATCCACATAGACGCGGCGGAGAACATCAAAACCGTCGGGGGTCACGATCTCCTAGGAGGTTAGTGATGGGTGGGGGCTGGATTGGTGGGGAGCAAGGGGAATGCAAGGGCGAGGCTCTGTAGGTAGGGACTGAACAGTCGGGGATTTGGTCTCAAACCCTCTGGGGAGACACATAAATACAGAGGAAGCACTGAGAGCAGCAAGGGCCAGGCCTGGCCACACCGGGGGTCTCCATGTACAGAAGCATTCCCAGGGGTCAGGGCAATTCAAAGGGGAGGAAAGAGCAATGGCGAGCTGTCTCCCCCACGGCTCTCGGCCCACCTTGCCATCTAGCAGGTCGGTGTGCTTTTGGCAGAACACTTTCTTGTCATCCTGGAAGATGCAGTAGCTGGCCCGGGCACACATGAAGTGGAAGTTGCTAAGACAGGAGGATAGGCAGCAGCCCACGGTGGCTCCAGGCTTCAGGCAGAGCTCACAGCGCTGTGGGTGGAAGGGGCCAGGGCCTGATACTCAGTGTGGCTGTCCTTGACACCTGGCGTGGGCCGTGGCAAGCCTGGCACCTCACACAACAAAGGCACTCACCAAATGCAGCCTCCCCCCCCAGCTGCAGCCAGGGCCAGGTGCCCATCACAAGGGCTTCAGGATTGGTGAAGCAAGGTATTGTAGTAGGGAGAAAGATAACAGCAGTCCTGGCTTGGTGCTATAGGGTAAGCACTGGACTGCTAACCAAAAGGTCAAGGTTGAAACCCACCAGCTGTTCTCATAAACTATGCTAGGCTGCCATGAAGTCGGAACTGACTGGAGAGCACTTAACAACAACACTAACTAAAGTGACAGTCATCATCTCTCCCGCTGTTTCATGTAATCCTTATGACGGACACACAGGGCAGGCTCCTCTATCATTACAATTACACATGGGGGGCTTGAGGTTCCCGACAGGACCTAGGGCTCTAACACATCTCACTTTGTGGGGACATAACTAAAGGCCACACGGCACGGAAAGCTGCCAGCAGTCAGGCAGACAGAAGCCTTCCAACTTTTAGTCTCTCGGGCTTCTAACCCAGTCTGTGGCCAGAGAGCACACACAGGACACTACAACACCAGACTTCTGGGACAACGAAGGTACTTAGGACCAGCAGTGAAAGGATACGGCCCTGGAGAGGAAGTCAAGGGCCGTCTCCTCGGACCCGACACCCTTGACCCTGAGGGAGGCCCACCTCTCAGGCCCCTGCCCTCACCATCTGCCTCCCTCGGGCCACAGCAGCGTGCACATTCTTGAGGGAGCCATCGTTCTCCTCAAACACTTCGGCCGACCAAATGGCACAGTTGACGTGTGTCCACTCATTCTGCCCAATGTACAGGAGCCGCCCTGCCTCCTAGAGTTAACAGGAGGGTGATGTGACTGGGGGCCCCTGGGAGACAGACCCCACAGCCTGGGCCTCTCTGAAGCCAGCACTCACCTTGGAATCTGCATCCCCGTACTTGAGGCAGAGAGCACACTGACGCGGGTCCTCCAAGTGTGAGAACGTGGCTGGGTCCTCGCCCTGGGAAGCTGGACCACATGTGAGGAGGGAGGAGGAGAATCAGGACCCAGAGCCCAGCCCTGACTCAGGAGCCCTGGCTTCTAGTTCCTACATCACAGTACCTGCTGAGGGGCCTCCGGGAGGCTGTCCGGATTCTGGCGTCTCTGGCTCCTGCTGCCTCCACTGAGCATAGACATGGTCCAGGGATGGGGGCAACACTGCATTGGGAAGGACTCCACTGTGGACAGAAAGGTAAGCGTCACTCACACCTAACAAGAGGCTGGACCTGGTCCTGCCCACACTGCCAGCCTCAGCATGCTCACCACCTCTCGTCCTCTGCATGTGGACTTCTTTCAGCCCCCAGACAAGCCAAGCCCTCCCAGATCGCCTCTGACCCGGGAAATGCTGTTTCTTGTGCCAGGGTACTCATCCTCACACCTCAGCTTGGAAGTCACCTCTTGGAAGGCTTCCCAACCCCAGGCTCAGGCAGCTGTCTCCCCTTGGTCTTCCCTATCTGGGTCTGATCATCTGGGTCTCAGTGCCTACCCAGACCCCCGAATGTGAGTTCTTTAAGCACACAGCCCACTCTGACTTGCTCACTGCTGTGGCCCCAATAGTGCCTTGCATGAGCATCTTACTGAGCACTCAGCATTTTGGCTCATCTAGACCCACAAGGCCATCTCCTCCAGGTCTGCCATCCCCTTGTCCTGTCTCCACACCCCAACTCCACTCCTCATCTATCTTCAGCCCAGTCTTCAAGGACCGGTGAAGGCCCAGGTGTCCTTGCCTTGGCCCCGGTTCCCTGCTTCCCCTCCTGCTACTCAGCCTTGCTCACTTTGGTAGCCGGGTACTCCGTCGCCAGTACTTTGGGTCGTGGGCGTCGAACCAGCCGAACGCAGACTCTAGCAGCTGCGGAATGGGTTAACAGAGTGAGAAGACCTGGTTTCCTAGAAGTTTTGGCAGGCCAGCGTCTCCCTGCCACTCCATTCAAACCACTCCACGGGTACCCCCCCAAAGAGCTCACTTTCAGCAGGAGCCCCTTCATCTGGCTTCCAGCCCGGCGCTCTGGGGTCTCTCCTTCCTCTGAATGTCTTGTCAGGATGCCCACCATGTCCTCCATGAAGCTGTGCTGTAAGGGGGCTTGTTAGGGCCTGAGGGCCCCCACCCCAGCCCTCTCCTCCGGGCACCCCAGTTATTCCCCTGTGTCCCACTCACCACAGATTTGTAGTGACCATCCTCAAAGCGCTGACTCACAGCTTGCAGACCACAGGGCCCCGGGTGCAGCCGATTCCCATCCTGCCCACACTGTAATGGGAGGCAGGGGAGGTCAGCAGGGTTAGTGGCAGGCCCAGCCCCACCCGCTCCTGCCTCCTGAGCTCTCCAGACCTGGGCGCACAATAGCAGTGGGCCTGCCACCTTGGAGCTCAGCAGGCCCTGGAGCACCTGGCGCAGGCCCCCCCGTAAGGCCCCGTTCAGAGCCTCTCGCCAGCGAGGGTGTTGCGTGGTCCCGGCACACGGCCCACAGGTGTACAGCACTGAGTCCGGCAGCCCGGAAAGGATCTCATAGTCCTCATCTGGAACAGCAGGGTGGGGAAGGAGAAGATGGCTAAGGAGGCTGCCAAGGCCACGGTGCCCACCTGGCCTCTAAGGAAAAACCCTGGAAGTGCAGTTGGTTAAACACTGGGCGCTAAGCCCACGGTCAGCATTTCACACCCCGCAGCCGCTCCTCAGGAGAACAATGAGCTGTCTGTTCCCGTAAAGATTTACAGCCGTGGCTACTCTCAGGAGCAGCTCTCCTCTCTCCTACAGGGTGGCTATGAGTCTACACTGCAGGCAGTGGATAGGTCCTCTGGGTTGGGGTCCGTGGGCAGAGGGGTTGGGCAGGGAGCCTGCAGGGCTGGGTTCTCCCCACTGACCTGAGAGTCCCTCGCACTTGGCGTGGACCCAGTGTTCACACTGCGCACACTGCATCATCTTGCTCTCATAGTCGTTGTCTTCGTAGCAGCGTGTGCAGATGGGGCAGTAGTTCCCTGGAGGACAAGGTAGGAGGAGGGAGTCAGAAGGGATGGGGTGACCAGCTACCCCTCAGTCGCTCTCGGGGACCAGCCAGCCCTTGACTACTGCACGGGCTTCTCCATCATACCCTCGTCTTTGTCCTCACCAGGCCCCAGGAGCTGACTGAGGCCGCCGCCTCACCGGCAGGGCCTACTAAAATACTGCCTAAGTAAATGAGGCAAGGCGGGGTTTGTAAACTGCTCAGTGGAGAGGCGAAGTTTCAGGAGGGACCTCAAGGACCACCACCAAGAGGATGGCATCCCTGGGGCTCCACTCCACTGCCCTCAGAGCCGCTCTGCGGCTGCATGGCTACAGGTGGACACACACTAGAGAAGAGCTCTCGTCTAACTGCCCGTCTAGGAAGCGGCCCCACTCCCCCGTGGCCCCCACGCTCCAGTCCCCCCTGCCAGGTCCCCACCTTTCTCATAGAGCTGGGTGCACCTGGGGCAGAGGCTGTAATCTCCAGACCACTCGACATCCCAGTTCTTGCCTGGAGTGGCCCCACAGCTCTTACAACGCACACAGGCTGAGCAGATCTAGGGGAGCAGTGGGATATTAGGGGTGACACGAGGTGACCATGGACAAGGAGTAGGGGGGCAGGCAGCAGGGAAGCCACGAGGGAGGTGAGGAAAAAGAGAAAATATGTGCAGGAATGAAGAGGAGGAGGGAAGGAGGGAGGGCAGACTCGAGGCAGGAGGCAAGAGATCCTGAGAGGCAGGATAGGAATGAAGCAGGAGGGTGATGGGATAAGGCTAGAGCAGGGGGTTCTGGTCCCGGGATGACAAAACATGTTGAGTCCCTGAAACCCTGACACGCATGTTCTATATACAAGCTTTATCTCTGCGAAGCTTTTTTGAAAAGGAGGTGTTCCATGGATCAAATTTCTCAAAGGACTCCCAATCCTTCCCTCCTCCTGAATGCCCCGGCATCGAGCAAGTCTCGGGAACCAAGGCGTGTGGGCCCCATCTCTCACCCAGTGGCGCCGTTTGCGAGTGGCCCGGGTAGGGTAGCTGGGCCCCAGGCAGGCTGGGTGGTAAGCATGGCGGCAGCGCTCACACTCCAGGAGGTGCTGGTGGTGGACAAAGACAGCAATGGCAGCACCTATTAGCATAGGAACACCCCGCTCCTCAGTGCCTCTACCCTGCCTGTGGTCAAACCTTGGTCCCCCGGCCTTTGCGCCCACAAACGTGGCAGAACTTGCAGCGACGGCAGCACCAGGTATCATGATGCTGGGGTAGGGGCCGCTCAGCCTCCTCCAGGCAGAAGGGGTGGAACGGGTCACAGCAGACTTGGCAGAACACCAGCTGGGGACACAGGGAGAAAACGGATACAAAAGTACTGGTCAGAAGGCCAGGGGATAAGACAGCAGGGGGCAGGGCCACTGGGCACTTGGGAGTTTTTGACAGAGAGTAACCTCATGCAGGCCTTTGCTGGCACACAGTAAGCACACCATCGGCGGCCCCCCAGGCACAGAAGTGAGCACGCTCAGGCCACCCATCAGCCACACGTTCTCCAGGTCACAATCCTCCTGAAGGAGAGAGGACACATGGTCAGGAAGCAGTCACGGACCCATCCTTAAAACCCTGGGTTCACACACCTGCCTCTGTCAACGTTGCCGTACCTTAAAATCCACACGCACACGGTGAACGCCATCTGGGGACTTCTGTTTCCCAGTCCAGCCATTAGGAAAAGAAGCAAAGGGACCAGGGGCCAAAGCATCCTATGGAGGGAGGGTGGGGCTGGTCAGAGGCTGCGAGTCCCATCCCCTGGAACTTCCTCTCGGCCTGCTTTCCCTGCTGGCAAGGCCCACTTTAGTCCTCAAGGCTGGACCTCTGGTGTGGGCACTCCGCTCGGCCCAATACCTTAACTTGCCAGGAAGCCCCTAGAGGACAGGTGTCTTCCCTAACACAAGCCACAGGGGATCTTGGTGTAGGGCCATGCTGACCTTGTCCAAGCGCCTTCGGGCTTTGAGCTGCACCACAGGTTGCAGGGTAGGTTTTCTAGGCCGGCTCTGCTCCTCGGGTTCTGGTACTGGCAGCTCTAGGCGGGACAAATCAGCAGTGAGAATCCACACCGCCCCTGATCCATCCCCTCTTCTTCACCCCCATTCAAATGTCACTCAGATTCCACAAGGCCTTTTCCAATTAACCAAGACCCATGAGGATAACCCCTAGGTCTCACCCAATAAGCTCACTAAACACCTCACACACCAACTCTGGGCCTACCCTCCAGCCTCCTCCTTTTCTGTCCTCAGCCTGACAGAGCTGAGCCTGGCACCCTGTCCCTTCCACAGATACAGGACTAACTTCTTGGGAGAGGAAGCAGCAAGCAACTCGCACCATTCTCTCGGGGGGTCCGACGCCGGGGAGCAGGGGGACCCCCGGGCTCCGAATCGTCCGAATCCTCGAAGATATCATAGGAGGGTCGCTGTTTGACGCAGCGCCGGGCTGACTTGCGCTGTAGTAGGAGGGAGTCCTGCTCCTCGGACCCTGGGGGGGCCACCACCTCCTCCCGGGAGCCCCCGGATCCCGCCCCCCGGCGTGGGCCTGGGGGACCAGGGGAGGCCTCAGGAGATTCATCGGAATCCCAGGGCAACAGCGTCTTCACTATCGTCCGGCCTGTGGGAACAGGGGACTTAGTGGGATTTGAGTTCAGCCAGGGACAGAGGCAAAGCTGGGACAGAGAAAAGCCAGACAAAAAGGCGCTCAAAAGAGAGCAAATATGGAAGAAGAACCAAAAAAAAAAGCACATAATGGAAAGAACAAACAATGGTGGTGCATGGTAAAGACACACGAAGCACGGAAGGCAAAACATGGCTTCCTGCGTACCCTGAACACACGCTTCTCAGACCCTTACCTTTCTTAGCCAGCCGCTCCATCTTCCGAGCCTCTATCTTGTCACACTTCCGGTATCTGGGGAGGGGAGCAGCACGTCACCAGGGTAGGGGACTGGTGTTCTGGGGGAAGAGAGGAAGCTCTCCACAAGGATGCCAATCCCACTGCTCTGGTTGGACACAGAGAGGCCGGGGCAGGAGGCTTGGGTGGCTGACAAACCAGGGGTGGGAATGGAGGCTACACCCCAGTTACTCACACACAGCACTGTTTCTTGGTGTTGGGACCCCCAAACTTGGGCTTGTCCAGGCAGTTGACACAGGACCCACAGTCTTGCACACGCAGGCAGCCCCGGCAGTGGCCACACCGTGCCATTCGCATCTTCTTGCCATGGTGGGAGGGCAGCGAGCGCCGGGGTGTGTGGGTCAGTGTCCCTGCAGACCCTGTAGGTTCTGAGTCCCCCCCAGGCCCTGCTGACTCCACCTTTCCCTGCTGGGACTGTGATGGAACACTCTCAGTCTCAGACGCTGATGACGTATCTATTGCAGCAGACAGGAGAGGAAGGAATGTGCCACAAGTAGCCTCTGGCTCCCACTTGCCCACACCCCATTCAAAATCCCATTTTGAGACCTAGCCCTCCAACCCACCTGCCATCTAACCCAAGCCTTGAATCCCACTCTCCTGGGCACCTCCCTCCCTACCCTCTGTGGCGAGGTCCTGCCGATCCCGGAGAGGGAGGGCACTGAGGCGGGGGACATCTTCTGGCACCATGGCCCGGGCCTGACCCAGGGCCACAGCAGCATGACGGCAGACATGTTTGATTCGGGGGCCTTGCACTGGGGACTCAGGGCCCTGGGGGAGGAGAAATCAGGCACACGTGTGTGTGGGGTGCTCCTTGTGTTCCTCCAACCAGCCTTTTTTATTGGGGGGGGATCGGGGGGAGGTACTGCTCCTACTGCATACCGAGGGTCTCTCTCTCTTAATTTCCATCGATTCATCTTCAGACTTGACAGAACCTCTGTCTGGGATCTGCTTGACCGTGCCCACAGCCTCCTCCATCTGCCCTCCAGGGCTCAGCTAGGGGTTACAAACAGGGTCAGGGGCTGGGAAGATGCAGCTAGGCAATAGGTATGGGGAAAGGTAACGGGTCAGGGAAGGAGCCCAGGAGACTGGCCAGTGGGGCAAGGACTGGTTTGGAGGATTGCCTGCAATGGTGAAGGGCGCCTAGGAAGGCAGGAAATCAAGGGGCTGTAGGGGACAGAAGGTAGACGGACTCGACGCAGAAACCCAGCCACAGCACCATGCTCACCAGCATTGAAGACGCCACCTTCTGTTGCTGCTGCTGGTCGATCTTGAAAAGCTGCACCTTGGCTCTCTTGAGGAGGCTGAACATTTTCTCCTCTACCCCCGACAGTGGTAAGGAGCCCAGGCCCGCGAGCCGAGCCTTTTCCAGCGGGGGTGCTGGCTGCAGTTCTAACTGGGGCTGTAGTGGTGGTTGCTGAGGTGGAGGTGGAGGTGGCTGGGGGAGGAGCTGAGCTTGCGAGGCCTGCATGGGCTGCTGTAGCTGAGCCAGAGGCTGCTGCCCATGGCTCAGGGCTGGAGTCCCAGGACGGGGCTCCTCAGCCTTCACAGTAGCCACCACAGGGACAAATCGAGGCAAGCTGAGGTGGTTGGTGCGGCCCACGGCCCGAGGCTCAGGCTCAGCTGGAGAGTCATCAGCAGGAGGTGGCTCTGGCTCAGGGGCTTCAGGGGTCCCAAGAGGAGGAACAGTGAGCACCGATTCATAGATTTTCCGGTGGGCCTCGCTTGGAGTAAACTGAGGGGCACGGAGAAGCAGGGGCCTCCGAGTTGGAGTTGTAGGGGCAGGGGGCGGGGCAGGAGGTGGGGCAGGAGGTGGTGGCGGTGGCGGTGGCGGCAGCTCCCGGGTCAATGAAGTCCAGCGAAATGTGGGTTCTCTTAGAATTGACCTTCTCTTCTCAGGGAGGGGGGCAGGAGTAGATGGAGGGGTTGGGGCGCGTGGTGGGGAAGGGGCTGGTGCTGGTTCCTGAGGGGGCAGTGGGGAGATGGCAATGGGAGGCCTCACAGCAGGTGACATCTCCACTTTTGGGGGCCTGGGAGGATCTTCATCCATGAATCGCCGGGGTGTCTTGATGATACGGGAAGAGCGGGCACTCACCACAGGCATGATAAATTGCCGTATATTCTTTAGGAAGGTGGTACTTTTGGGGGGCAGGGTGGGACTGTCTTCTGGAGGGCCCCCTGTGGTGATGCTGGGGGCTGGAGTGGGAAGGGAAAGACCCTCTGGCCCCGCCCGAGCAGCTTCCCGCTCTGCCCGCTGACTGGGCGTCAGAGGAGGCCGGCCTCTCTTCCTGGAGCAGGTAGCTGGGACCACGGTAGAAGGGGCTTCTTCCCGCTCCTCAACAGCAGGAGATGGAAGAGGGAGGTGTAGGGGCGAGGGAGGCAATGGGGATGGTGGGGAGCAAAGTGCAGGTGGAGGAGATGCTGAAGGGGGGGGGAGGGGGGGAGGGGCTGAGGGAGTCAGGGGTGGTGACAGCAGCTTGGCCTCGTCCTCCTTGGCTAGGACCCCTTCTTCCTCAGCCACTGGTCTGTCTTCCTTGTCGTGCCCCTCCTCCTTGACTTGTTTCTCTTTCTCCTCCTCTTCCTCCTGGAGATTCTGCTCTGGCTTTTTCCCACAGGGGTCCCCTTCCAGTCCAGATCCAACTCTTTCTTGAGGGGAATCCTGCCAACTTTCTCCATGGAGATCTTGACTCTGGCCTAACTCCGACGTCAAGGATAATTGGCCCACCTTCACTTTTTTGGCTTTTGAAACAAACTTGATCACAAGTGGGAGCCCACCTCGGCCCCGGCCCCGGCCTCCACGGCCTCCTCGCCCAGACTGTCCTCCACGCTTGGGGGTCCCAGGACCTGGGCCGGGCCCCTCCTTGCACTTCCAACTGCCAGTTCTGCACTTTACTGGAACCACAGGAGGTGGGGGTTCAGGTTTGGGGATTGTCACAGCAGCTTCAGCTACCACTACTCCTGGTGGCTTCTTCCTGGAGGGGCCTGCTGGCCTTCCCGGGGGCCGTCCACGAGACCGTCGGGGGGTAGAGGGCTCACATGCTCGGCTCCGGGGAAGAGGAGGTGCCTGGGCCCGCCGAAGAAGTTCAGTCAATGCCTGTACCATCCGTTCTGTGCCCTCCTCACCCCGTTTCCGGGCAGGGGTCTTTGGGGGGGTGGGGCCCACATCTGGTAGGCGAGGAGGCGGAAGGGGGGTCGTCTTATGCTTGCGGCCCCGGCCTCGGGGGGCTCGACCTAAAAGGAGAATAGGTGTGGGGAGATGGGTCAAGCAGGCCCTGCAGACCCAGAAAGTGTTCCAGGAAGGCAGGGGCTAAGTCTTACTTATCTGTTTCCCCCACAGCCCAAGTTAGCTTAGGTTTTGAACACAGACCACACTCAGCGACGCTGGAGACTCGAGTTTAACAGGGAAGAGCTGACACAAAGAGCAAGAAAAATAACGTTCCTGTAAAGCTACAGAGACCGTGTTTCCCCATCACTCACCTCGCTGGGATCGGAGCGCAGAGCGCAGGGAACTGGGGGCCACGTCTTCATCTGAATGAAAACCCTGAAACTCCTGATTTGGGGGGCCAGGGGTGGAGGGGAGAAACACCAGTCAGTGCCAAAGCCCTCATTCCACAAGTGGGGCTCAGGTACCCCACTTAACAAACCCTTACCTATTGACAATAGAATCAAGAGACTGAAGTGAGGGATCAAAGGGGCTCGAGGCACAGGCTATTCTGAACCCCCACCTCCAGGGCCAGACTACACCAACACAGCTGTCAGAGGTTCACTGGCCCAGAATGGGAACGCGCTAGTCTCGTCAGGTCTGGCAGTAAGGCCCACACGCGTACTCTTAACTCAGAAAAGTGGGACCCCTGTAAATGCTCTCAGACCATAGTTTTCCTGAATGAAGACGGAAAATGTACCAAGGGGGCGGAGGAGTGGGATGAGGGGGCATCAGGTGATGTATTATATTAGGATGCGCTCAGCGCGGCTCCTAAGTAATGGAATCACACCTTCCTGCTAGAGCTGAGAGTCCAGGGGTTAAGTCCTCGGCTGAACCACAGTGTCCATCTCAGCCTGGATCCCAGGATTCCCTTACACCCCCGGGCCCCAGGAGGAAGCCCTCCTGCTCCCTGAGCTCTCTCTCGGAATTGGGGCACTGGTGAAACCAGGGAAGAAATGTCAGGGATGATGAAGCCAGGCCGGCAGCCTACAGGTTAAGAGGCTGCTGTCAACCACCAGTGGCCAGGCATGCAATCCCCACTGTCTCCTCACCCACACCTTGACTGCTCGGGTCTGCCGACCACCAAGAAGCATCAGGCCAGGACCCTCCCGCTGGACCCAACGCCGGCCCAAGAGACCGGCTTGCAGCCACTTCCAGAGGCCCCAGCCACCGAGAGCTCCGTGCAACCTGCCAACTCCCAGGCCTATTTCCAAGACCCCTTCCCTGCAGGGGCCCTAAGGAGCCCACTGCCCCCACAACAGCCCTCGGGGTCACCCCGAGCCCTGGAAGCCCCTGGCCTGCCCCGCCCGGCGCTGGGGACACCTCCGATTGCCTCACCTCATCGTCCGACTCCCCGTCACTGCTCTCTTCCTCCGGCACCCAGCCCCGGCTCAGGCCCCAGCCTCGGCCCCGGCCCCGGCCTCGGCCCCGC